TTACTAAAAGGAAACTAGATATAATTTCAAAGCTTTGACATATATATTACACTGAGCTACATACAAAAAAAAGAAAAAAAAGAAAAGAAAAAAAGGTAAAAATGAGAAAAAAAATAGTTCACATCAATAATATAATAATAAAAAAAAAACTCAACAGAAAAGGAAAGAGAAGCAAAATTGAATTTCAGAGAAAACTTGGTTAATTCATTTTCCGTCCAGACCTTAAGCTCTGAGACGACAAAAACCTTTCCTCATTAAACCTACTATTATGAGATTCTCGGCTTAAGAAAACAGCTGATATGACGTGGATCTGGTGGAGGGGGAGGGGGGAGGGGGAAGGGACATTCTAGGGGAAGTTTATATTATTTTTTTCTGAAGTTTTCTTCATTTTTTTCTTTACACAATAAGCTACACATACAATAACAGATTCTGATCAGTATCTGGAAATATCGAGACAGCTACTAAGAGCTCGTGTTAACGAAGAGGAAATCAATATATGTACACAATTCAAGATATCTATATATATATATATGCTTAAAAAAATTAACATTTGTACTCACAAAAAACAAACCACAGATGCTAGTACAATAAACATAAAGAAAGAAAGAAAGAAAAAAAAATATATATATATAATGGTAGTACAAAGCTTGACAAAATCACCTTGATTGTAATAAATTTATCCTTTCTAACATCCATATCTTCTCTTTTCTTTTACTACATCTCTGTTAAAGAAACAAAAAGCACAATAACTAAATCAAGCTAACCAAAAAAAAGTAAAAATGAAGATAAAAATAAAATCAAAAGAAAATACAAGGGCAGCATACAACAAAAGAAACTGAAATAAAACCTATGGAAAACAAATCAAAATAAAAGGAGGATAAGCTTAAAGAAAAAGGACTTACACAATAAAATAATAATAATAATAATAACGAGTTCTTTGGGCCATTCTTGCGGCTTCTTCCTTTGACACACGCTAATGAGAGGCGAGATGGGGAGGGGGAAGTGGGGGCATGGGGTGGCATTTCCATGGGAGGAAGGGAGGGGAGGGGGCATCAGGGGGGGATTGCAAAGGAGGAGGGGGAGAGGGGCCTTTGCAAAGACCAGCCATCCAAGGGGAGGGGCTTGGGGAGGGTTGCGGATGGAGGGGAGTGTGGATCAGTGGAGGGGGTTAGGGGAATGAAGGGAGAGGCACAGGAGAGAGGGGGAGGGGCTTCAGTAAGGAACTGAGAAGGCCATTTGTCAATGTTACCAACTGTAAGTGGGAGAGTATCATCGGTGTTACCCGAGTGAGATGGCGAGGGGGCTGAGGAGGGAGGGAGGAGAGGAAAAATGGAGAAATCGCGACAGAATGAAGGGAAGACAGAGGAATCTATTTTGATGGCAATGTCTTCCCCTATTTGTAAAGTCATATGAAATGAGGAAAAACGAGGTAGGGAACAGGGGAGGCGCATCCTATTCAGAGAGAAGGGTTAAATTTTGGCTGAACATAGGAAGCTCTTTCTTCTTCTCTGTTTGTTGCAAAAAAAAAAAAAAGAAAAAGAAAAAAAAGAAAAAAAATCTTTTTGTGAATAAAAAGAAACCCAGATGAAAAAAGAGTTATCATTGCCTTTTTGTATCTGATGATTTGGAGGAGGAGGAGATGTGAGGGAAGAGGAAGTGGGGGAGAAAGAAGAGGAAGAGGAGGAGAAGGAGCAGGAAGGAGGAGAAGGAGCTGGACGGAGGAGATTAAAGGGAGAGGAAGGAGTAGGAAAGAGGAGAAGAAAGAAGAGGAAAAGGAGGAAGAGGAGGAGGAGGAGGTAGAGGAAAAGGAGAAGGGAAGAGGAATAGGAGAAAATGGGAGAGGAAAAGTAGAGGAAGGAGGAGGAGGAAGCAGAGGAGGAGGAGGAAGCAGAGAGGAGGAGGAAGCAGAGGAGTAAGAGGAAGAGGAGGAAGAGGAGGAGGAGGAGGAAGAGGAGGGGAGAGGAGGAAGAGGAGGAAGAGAGGAGGAGGAAGAGGAGAGGAGGAGCAGGAGGAGGAGGAGGAAAGGGGAAAGGAAAAGTAGAGGACGGAGGAGGAGGATGGAGGAATAAGAGGAAGAAAAGGAGGAAGAGTAACAGGAGGGGAAGAAGAAGATTTTGGTTATGCAAACAAGGGTGAAGACAAAGAGGCAACAGAGGAACCTCAGGTGGCAGGGTGAAGAGAAGAAAAGGACAAAACCCAACAAACGCATTGAGCCGACTCCGACCAACACTGGTCAGCACTACTGACGTGATGATTGGACCAGGAAGAATGAAACTTCAACTAAATGCATTTACATTTGAACTCTTAATTGTCTGATGGAGAATGTCACTGCAAAGGGAAGAAACAAAGAAAAATATCACATTCTGGGTGAAATTTTTCTTTTTTCTTTTACTGACAGAATGTGCAGTATATCTAGAGGAAGACCATTGTTTGTTTTCTTGTTTTCTAATGAATAACTGAAAAATAAGATGACTATCAATATATAAAAAATATTTCTTCT